TACCTTTGTCGGCGAGGGGACGGGACGTGGCGTAAGTTGGCCCTTGGTCGGGAACCCCCCACCTACCCCCCGTTATGTGGTGTCATAGACTACATGACGTATGGCTGTGGCACTTTGGCCCTTTCCAGGATCTGGCCCTCCTTTTGATTTGAGAAGGACAACAAATCAACACAGAGCACTGAAAGATACAATGCACGGCAATAAATTACGTTTCTCTTATCACCACGCCATACCTCACCAAAAAGAAAAGGTGTTTCTTAGCCATTTCTTGAAGTAGGGAGGGGTGCTCGATTTCATGATCTCATGACATTTCCAGTGGTTGTGTGTCTGCTGGCTTTGTATGCTAATTTTGATCGCCTGAATGGGCTGTCATCCTGAGAAAACTTGCAAGAGTGCAGCCATGGCCAGTTGTCACAAGTCCTTTCTGCTCTTGCCATCTGAAAGTAAACACTTTGGCCACTAGATGCGTCAAGGGAAATTGTGTCAGTCTGAGAACAATGTACACCTTTAGGCCTTCCTTTCTAAGATGTGTCTTAACCAGGCTGAATGTCTTTTCCTTCCAGACTCTGCAGAGGTGATCCAGTCTCGAATCAATGAGCAAGAAAACAGGGAAGAGTTCTATGTGCACTATGTTGGATGTGAGTATTTTGTTGTGGTTCTCTATATCAGTATGTTTTGGAGGAAATATGAAGTGTCTGTTTAGTCCAATGGTGACAAACATTTTGGGCTGTGGGCATACTGACTCTTCTAAGGAGTGCTGTGAGTGCAACTTTGAAATGGTGAATCAACATGACAAATCACAAAACATCATGTATCTCCCCCACCCAGGGGGGTTCTATATATACATTAGTACAGCTCAAGCTCTCTTTCACCGTGTTGTTGACTCTACCTCCATATCTTAGCTATGCTACCATTTCACATTGCCACAGACTTTGGGAAGATGAGTTGCCTGCTAAATGTGCTCAGGTTTTGAAAAAGGTCTGAAGGGGGAAGAGGAGGTGATGCCAGTGCCTCCTATCACTAATATTTCCTCTTCAGGCAGAAGGGGAACTGTACTGGCTATAGCATTGCACAGAACTGGAAGAGCAGGTATACTGGTGGCAGTCTATGCATTACACATGCCCCATTAGCAATGCTCAATCCCTGCCTATTACTAGAGGGAATGACCACCAAAAGGTGGATGGTATGCTGAGCACGGCCCTGTAGAGCAAGGAACAGGGGCAGCTGCTGTCCCCTTCCATTGGTCACAGCAACTGCCTGCCCCTTCTCCAACACCCACTCATTGCTTAGATATAGATAAGGAGCTGTATCACCTGCAGCTCCATCCAGAACTAAAAATTCCTTAATGAGCATTGAGGAAGTGTTCAGCCCCACCCCCAATTGTGCAGAAACACTTTTCTGAGCAGTAAAAGGCCAATCCTGGTAATATCCTCTGTCTGAGATGGCTGCCTCGTGAAAGGGATATTCCTGGTGTGCATATATATAAAGAGAAATAAAGCAAAGAGAAACACATGTAGTGGCTGGGAGAATAGTTTTCCTCAGGTTGTTGACTTTCCTTTATAGAAATCCATCTTAGTCCTTCACAGTCTGCTCATCTGCTTGCGAATCTAATTTCAATGGTAAATAGGTATTCCTTTTAATAATAGTGCACTGCACTAATGGGGCAATACTGTATATAAAATAAATAAATATCATATGCTGCATACTTGTATAGCTATAATTCTTTTCATTGGCCTTAAATTCCTTCTTATAAATACCTGCTATCATGCCAGATCTCTATCCAAATAGAGTGTATAGGAAATTAATAGAAGTGGAAAGCTGGCAAAAGATATTGGCATCTTATCACTGAGCACAAGAGTACATGGATATATAATTTAAAAGCCCATTTTCTTTGGTAACCACAGTCAACCGCCGTCTGGATGAGTGGGTGGATAAGAACCGCCTGGCCCTCACCAAGACCGTCAAAGATGCAGTGCAGAAGAACACTGATCAGTACATGAACGAGCTCTCTGAGCAGCCCGAACGCAAGATCACTCGCAACCAGAAGCGCAAACATGACGAGATCAACCATGTGCAAAAGGTGATTCCCACAGAAAGGTGGCTGGGGATGCTGTACTGTGCTTCATAAAGTCATAGAAAAGTGAAGTTGGAAGGGGTGTACAAGGCCATCAAGCCCAGCCCCCTGCTCAAGGCAGGAATACCATCAAAGCAGATCTGCCAGGTGATGATCTAAGTTTTTCTTGAATGCCTCCAGTTTTGGAGCACTCACCAACTCCCGAGGTAGCTAGTTCCACTGTTGTACTACCTTAACAGTTAGGAAGTTTTTCCTGATACTCAACCGAAACCTGGCTTCCTTTAACTTGAGCCAGTTGTTGCGTGTCCTGCACTCTGGGGAGAGCGAGAACAGATCTTGCCCTTCCTCTATATGATGGCCTTTCAAATATTTGAAAAGTGCTATCATATCACCCCTCAGTCTTCTTTTCTCAAGACTAAACATGCCCAGTTCTTTCAGCCTTTCCTCATAAGGCTTGGTTTCTAGCCCTCTGATCATCCTTGTCGCCCTCCTCTGAACTTGTTCCAATTTCCTTCTTGAAGTGTGGTGTCCAGAACTGGACACAATACTCAAGATGTGGCCTAACCAGTGCTGAATAGAGGGGAACTAGCACCTTGCGGGATTTGGAAACTGTACTTCTATTAATGCTGCCTAAAATAGCATTAGCCTTTTTTGTAGCCACCTCACACTGTTGGCTCATATGCCACTCATATTCAATGTCATCTCCAGAGCTGGAAAAATCCTGGGTGCTTTTTAATGCCCTGGAGCTATTACTAAATCCATAATGGCACCAAGGAAGCTATATTCTTTAAGGCAGTTTTAGTCACCACCACTTTCCGTGCTGTTCTTCTGCAGACTTACGCTGAGATGGATCCCACAACAGCAGCTTTGGAGAAAGAACACGAAGCCGTGAGTGTTGCCTACATTTGGACTGGCTTGTTGCCAAAGGGAAGGAAGGGTAGGAATAAGAAGCATAGCTGTGTTTCAAGGCTCCCCAGATATTGTTCTCTTTCCTCAGATCACCAAGGTGAAATATGTGGACAAGATACATATCGGGAACTATGAGATTGATGCTTGGTACTTCTCACCTTTCCCCGAAGACTACGGGAAACAGCCCAAGCTGTGGATCTGCGAGTACTGCCTCAAGTATATGAAGTTTGAGAAGACTTACCGCTATCACCTTGTACGCAAGGGGAACGAGAATGCCTAAAGTTCCTGGGGAGGGAGCTGAGTGAGAAAGGGCAGGACAGCTGTAGGTGGAATGAAGGGAGTTTTGAAGAATTCAGAGAGGACTGTTAGTTGAGAGTTGATTTCTATTAGCAGGTCTGTCCCCTTAGTTTTTACAAGTTTGGTGTGTCAGAATATAATTGCACATTCAATTTCAAGCATACCGAATAGATTTTTAAAACAGCTGATGCATGCAGTACTAATAATTTTGTGCTAGAAAGCAGAAAAATTAAGCAGTGCCTAAACGAGAGTTGAAGGTACTGACCTAACTCAAAGGACAAGCAAGTGAGAAAGTTGGTGAAACTGTTGAGTGGCTCAGCAGATGGAACTTGTCAGAAAAATGCAAGTCTTTGGCTTTGAGGGCTGATTGTTTTTCTTTGTTTTTCTTGTTCAGGGACAGTGTCAGTGGAGGCAGCCACCAGGGAAAGAGATCTACCGCAAGAATAATATCTCAGTGTATGAGGTGGATGGCAAAGATCACAAGGTAGGGACTGTTTGCCCAGTAGTGGGTCTGCTATATTGGCACTGTCAATTACCATCTAAACTTTGGAATAAATTTCAGAGTAGAGATGGGCCCAAATTAATTCTTGGGGGGGGGGAGGCTTGATGAAATTTGTCATGCGGCACTACAGCTGCTGCTCAGACCCTCTCCCTGCACCCAGGCCAGCAGGGCCACTCATCTTTTGTTACGCACTGTTGGGGTCCATCTTCGCCAGTGGCGCACCAATCCAGGCAGGAGCTCAACTGACCCATCCCTGCCTCCTCTGGCAGCCAGCCACTCCGATGAGGAGGCACCACAAGGATTCTCCCCATTCAGCTGAAGAGAGCGGTCTACTACCAGAGGAGGTGGGAATGCGCCAGCCGAGCTCCTTCCTGTGGTGCTGCACGATGAATTTCGTTCCCTGTCCACCTGTGTCCACAATATTTATACTTGTATCATCAGGGATACGAGTACGAATATCCCATTTCTACTGCCCATTGTACTTCTAATGGTGAACAGAATCATTGGTGGCATTAAGAGGAACTTTTATTTTGAGAAGCTGTTTAATAGCAAGTCTCTTGAATTTTGACAAGATAATTTATAACCTTGATATGGCCCTGGACAGTTAATTTCTCCATACAGAAGAATTCCTCAAAGATGTTTGATTTTATTGTAATGCTTGAAGGCTGCCAAAAGTAGAATCTTAATGCCAAATTGATCATTGCAGTATGCCCGATTAGTGGCTTTTTTATTGTGGCTGGCTGAATACATGGAAAAGAATGCTCCCCACTCTACCATTTCAGAAGAGCTTACTTAGAACAAAGTTCTGCATGTGATTCTGTGACTACTATTCTAAGGTTCTGTTTGTTTCTTTTGTAAAGTTTTTGTGGAGATGAACTCCTTGGAGTGCCTCTTCTTTTCCTGGGTAGGGCCTACACCCTTCTTGTTTCTCTTTTGTCGATTGGTTCAGTGATTTATTGCCTAGATGTCTACATCCTTATCTAAATTTGCTGTATTTCCCCTACCAGATTTACTGCCAGAATTTGTGTCTCTTGGCCAAGCTGTTCCTGGACCATAAGACCCTCTATTTTGACGTGGAGCCCTTTGTCTTCTATATCCTCACCGAGGTCGACAGGCAAGGGGCCCACATCGTGGGCTACTTTTCCAAGGTACTTGCACGGCGCAGAATGTTTGGTTGTCCTTCATTCTAGCTAAAACCGAGGTTTTTGAGAAAGAAAATAAGCATTGAAGAATTTGTGCTTGTGTCCTCTTTTGCACAAAGAGCAACCTGAAAAATACAAATTAAGAAAGTTTCCATACATTTGCTGCTTTTCTCCATCATATGTTGGTCCTGCCACGGAAGAGAGAAGAAAATAGTTGTGCATGACGCCACCTCTGATCCTGCCCTCTTGACAACCTCTGGGTTGTCACTAGATGTCACTAGAAGTTATCCACGTGCTTTCAGATATTTGCAACCACAAGGGCTAGAAATCGCAGTTATTCATTGCATTTCTCTATTTGCCTCTCTGAGTGCTAGGTTCAAAAGGGCTTCCACTTTAACATAATTAAATTATATGATTAGAATACAATGAGGTACCCAGTGTGGTGCAGTGGACAGAGTTACAGACTTGGACCGAAGAGACCAGGTTTTGGTTCCCTGCTTAGCTATAGAAATTCATTGGGGGTGTGGATCTGGTAAAACCACTCCCTAAGCACCTGACTTACCTTGAAAGCTGTATTACGATTATCATGTCAGTTTCGACTTTGATGGCATATAACAGAATGCAGTAGGAAGGTGGGGCAGGAGGATAAGCACATTCCAGTTTCATGGCCATTTCTGGGAAAGATTCTGAGAGATCTGATTGGCAGCTCCAGCTGAGCTAAATAAGTGTTTGTCGTCTCTTCTTCCTTTAGGGCAGTTTTGATGAGGCCAGGGGCCAACTTTTCGGCCCCAATCTGCCATGATTGGGCAAAAATTCAAGTCAGAAGTCCATTTCTGGTTTGGAGCGGTTTTGTGTATGCATTTGGCTGGGAGAGCCCTGCAGGATCCACTCCCAGCAGAATCTAGAGCCATCAGGTTGGGCCTTCAGGCATCACTCTTGAGACACCTACCCTTACCAAAATTGTGTGGCCTCTTGGAGTCATGGAGGCCTGATGAAATGGCCTGGGAAAGTCACATGTGGCCTGCAGACTGTGCTTGCCCACCCCTGCCCTAAGGCCCTGCGGTGTGGCACTTCCCGTGATGTCACATAAATTGGGAGACAGTTTGTGTGCTTGTACAGTAATGTCACATGATCCATGTTGGTCAGTGGCAGGTAAGAAGAGTGACAGGGGTGGAAAGACTAGCAGAAAGTAGATTTGCATATGGATGGAGACCGGCTGAGAGAATGAAAAGAGGAGGGGCTGTTTGAAATGGCAAGAGAGGGGAGAGACCATCAGGTATGGCATTAGAGAACGCTGCCACCCCCTTGCTTCTTCGTTCGTCGGACTGATTTGCTTTTGCTTTTCTTTCCCAGGAGAAAGAATCGCCAGATGGCAACAACGTGGCCTGCATCCTCACCTTGCCACCATACCAGAGGCGGGGTTATGGGAAGTTCCTCATTGCTTTCAGTAAGTTTCTTTCCATCAATTGGTGTGTGTGGTGGCTCCCAGCTGGCAGATAGTGCTAGAAGTAACCTGTTTGCCTGAGCTCCTGTATTCCACTTCCATTTTGTACGGTTGGTTCAGACCAATTGTTTCTACGCCTTTTTTCTCTCTCAAACTTTTCTTTCTAAACCCTTCTCTTCCTCAGGCTACGAACTCTCAAAGCTGGAAAGCACTGTGGGCTCCCCAGAGAAGCCCCTCTCAGATCTGGGCAAGCTGAGCTACCGTAGCTATTGGTCCTGGGTGCTGCTGGAAATCCTCCGGGATTTCCGGGGCACTCTCTCCATCAAAGATCTCAGGTAAGTGAGAACCTGAGAACTAGCGTGCCTTGTTATTCTGTGAAGCACAGCACCATCCTGTACTGAAAGGGGAGTACGCATACTCATTTGGTGTCATGTTCTGAGAAGTCTGGGGGGGAGCATCATGTTTCCTCCCAGTTAGAACCCCTGAGGTTATGTTACCTTACGCTTCTTCATTCACCGCCTTCCCTCTTTTTCCCTCCATTGTCCCCGGCACAGCCAAATGACAAGCATCACACAGAATGACATCATCAGTACTTTGCAGTCCCTAAACATGGTCAAGTACTGGAAGGGACAACATGTCATCTGCGTCACCCCCAAGCTGGTTGAAGAACACCTCAAAAGTGCCCAGTATAAGAAGCCTCCCATCACAGGTATGATGGGGCAGGGAGTGAAGTGGGGAGGAGAAGTTCTGGCCTAGCTCTGCTGGTGATTGCTTTTGACTGGAATTTAGTTGAAATTAGTATATATTTGCCCTTGCCCCCTAGTTATTCCCTCACACGGATTCTTAGCTTCTTCGTATCTTTGTTTTTTACTCTTAACATTTTGAATCCACCATACCTACCTAATCAGATCTCAGATTAGGATACACAATTAATAAAACCACAATAAAAAGTGTTTGACTTAATAATTTAGTCCATTTAAAACACTTTTTATAATTTAACAACTCAAACAAAACAGAAACTGGCAAACTGATAAATTGGAAACCAAGCCATGATCTCAGTAAGTGCTAGTTTCTTGGATGGAGAACCAGGATTTAACTGGGCGCTGAATATCGGCTAGGAGTCCCACAGCCCCAATCTGTTGTTTTTCCTTCCCAGAAGAGAGACTTCTACTTTTTAAAAGTGGAATCTTTTTGCTTCAATTCAAAGCATATGGTCGTTTTTCAACTGATGTTGAAAGGAAAACCCAGCACAGCACACAGAAACAAGCAAACACAAGCCACGTGCTTGTGCACACACATACAGGGAAGAAAGCCTACGTTCTCCTCCATGGGTAACATACCTGTGGTTTGTTTTTGTCTTATGCTTTAAGAAACAAAGCTTGTTTTTCAGCATGAGAGGGTTTTTTTTAAGCAAACAATAGGAAATTGAAGTGGGAAGCCTTTTTACATATTGCTTGTAAGGCAGGTCTTTTTAATCTACAGGGCTATATCAGAACTGCAAGCAAACAGCAAAAAAGGCTCTGTTTTTCTGTGTGGCCACTTAAATCATACAGACTTGAATTACCTGGTGCAACTTCACAGCAAATGTGTGCGAGGGAATTTGCATTTTCTTCACTGTGTAGTTGCACCCTAAGTTGTATATTTTTTCCCCAGTTCCCCTTCTGCCACTATAGTCTTCGATAGTACTCCTACATCAAGAATGGGAAACTCATGGCCCTCCTGATGTTGTTGGAATATTATGAGTGCCATTAATGCTGAACATGGGCCGTGTCTATGGAATTCAAAAACTTTTGGACAGCTACAAGTTCTTTACCCCAGTCTGTCTTTGTAGAAAGCATGTTTATGGATATAAATTAAATCGATAGACTCAATCACTTTGCACTGTTAGTTCTGAAAACAAAAATTACATCCCTCCCCAAATCCGGGCTCGCTGAGTGTGCCGTTTCCATATTAAGTTGCAGAACTGGATTTTGCTTTGTTAGCCCTATTGTGGAGTGTGCCAGGCACTGCAAAAGATAAACACAGAACCACCTTACTAGAGGTCGAGGAGTCAGAGCTTCTTTGCATTGGTTTCGAATTTTTATCCTTGTTGAAAGAGTCATTGTTTGTCCTCAGTGGGAGTGATGTGCCAGTGATGTTACATAACAAGACCTGTGTTGAGTTGGCAGTTTCCGCCTCCCATGCCTCTCCCCTCTAAAGAAGCTGATGTGGAGCTCCTTGTAGGGCAGGGCAAGGGGAGGAATGATGGGCAGTCACATGCAAGACAGGCTGGCATCTCATTTCGCTTTTCACAAACTACTTGCTTCCATGCTGGCTATCAGAGCAAATAGTCTTGTGAAAGCTAAGAAGAATTGGACAGGCAATTTTTTAATATTGATTTGCTGCTGCTGCTACAGACTTGTTCAAGGAGCCGTTTAGAAATATCATGGAAAACAATCTTTCCAGCTTGAATTACTTCCCATGACACATTCGTGGGTATTCTAAAAAGAGGCAGCCCATCGTATCAGAGATGGCAATAGAATGTCTTTGGCCATTCTGCTCTGTTATAGAGTTTTTGACAATTTCCTCCTTTCCTCTTTCTTTTATTACTTCTCCAGTTGATTCCCTCTGCCTGCGATGGGCGCCGCCCAAACACAAACAAGCCAAGATTTCCAAGAAGTGAAGGAAGAATTGACTGAAAAAAGCACTAAGCTTCAGTGCATATCCACCCTTCGTTCTAAAGAGATGTTCTAAGGTGAAGCATCTGTGTTGGTCTTGTATTGATAAGACATGCTTGGAACAGAGAGACCAGGGGTCATGGAGAGGAGAAGGCTTCACTACAGTGTAGGTAGCCCACCTATACCCTCTTCTGTCCTGCTTGGCAAACTCCTCCCTTGCCAGCCTGAAACATTGCTTTGCTGGTTAACAAAACTGGTGTCCTCTGTTGTAGCAGGGAGTGGGAATTCACCCACTTTCTTGTATTATTCCTTATTGGGCCAGAGATGTAGCCAGTTTCTCAGCTACTCTATGGAAAGTCTGCGAGCTTCTTCCCACCTCCGGAATTAAGTAAGTCATACACCGTGGAAGATTAGTTGTAGATCAAAAGGGGACTAGCAAGCAAACATGTGCCTGAATGCATTGTCCAGATGTTTGGGGAAATTGGTCAACAGATTTGGTAGGTAATGTTGGTTGGCAGTAGCGACTGTTTCCAAGGAGTACTAATTTACAAGCAGGAAAGGAAAATAGTTTATCCAGCAACAATGCCCACTAGTGTAATGTTCATGCTCAAATTGTTAAAAGCTGTATAACTTTTGCTCTAAGAGTACAAAACTCCGTTTCAAGGGAAGCCCTCAGTTGTGACTTCTGATGCAAGAAGTCTTGGTCTATCCAAAAAAAAAATGTCCCACCGGTTTTTTAGGTCTGGCAAAGAGGTTTTCCCAGCGTTTCAAACCACACAGCTGCTGCCAGCAGCCTTGGAAAAAGAGACTGGAAGGATTTACAGTTTAGTTTGCCTTGTTTCCTAGATAGTTAGGCAGTTGGCCTTTCCCTAAGATAGTATTGGCAGCAAGAGTCTACACTTGGGTCTCACTTGAAGAGTAGCTTCCCAAGGCAGATGCAGCAACTAAAATATCATTGTTCCACTTCCACTGCTGAGCTTGTGTGAACTGTGGAGGGGCAGCTAAAATGAAACCTGGCCTTTAGCTTATTGTAGGGGATCTGGGCTGTTTCCTACCACCCACTCCCAAATTCAGTAGAAAAGCTATATATGAAAAGGAACAAAGTGGAGAGGGAGGAGCACTCTGACTTTGCATTGTTGCGACAACATGCAAGTTAGAGAAAATTGTGTTACTTCATGGGGGTTTTTTGTTTGTTTGTTTTAATCCTGACATAGCTGCCCTATGTTGTGTGTACTGCATTATCAGGTGATAAAATAAGGGTTTTCCTCCCAAAAGAGACAAGTCTCTGTAGCTCAGCAATGCTGAAAGAGACGGAAGCCACTGTTCTTCATACAGCTTTCTTTTTATCACACTGTTTTGACATTGGCACCAGTGCTGTTGGCAGGAGTGTGGACTTGCATGGAGGACTTCTGGAAGAAACAGCCATTGAGTTTGGTGGTCTTGCTACAGCTATTGGAGTCAGACTCCACATATGCAGTGTTTTCTGTTATTTTAAAAAGTATTTTAATTAATAAAAACCACAAAACGAGTGCAGTATCACTGTGTAGTAACATGTGAGCTACATTGTTTTATAGTGCTGGCACGAGGGCAAGTCCAATTTGCCTCATCATGAGACCACTTGAGAGCTTCGGCTCTTCTGAGAATAAAACTTGTAAGAGATTTGAACGTTACCGCTTGTGCAACTTTTATACATATTGGGTCCCATACACTAGAGGCTGTGTTGCTGGCCAGTTCTAATACATCCAGAATGCTTGTGATCCAGCTGTGGTGGACCAAGATTATCCTTCAATAATAAAACAGCCACCCATGCTGCAGAATTTACTCTTCACTTTATTAAAAACCATCATGAGAGGTAGCATCCGAATCTCATCCCTCTTGATAGAGTGAGAGATGCTTACATGATATTTTTAAATAGTTGTGCAAAACAGTCTGCCGGGGGGGGGGAGCTGATTGCCTGCAAGGACGTAGGTTCCCCACCCACCACCCACCTCATCTGTCTTCTTCCTTCTTCCAACACTGCAATTGCACTGACCATTGTTTTGTCTACCTGACAGCACATTCACATCAAGGATCCCATTCCAGCTGCTGCTGCATCACATTTGAGTCATACACCATAAATAAGTCTGTCAAGCTGACAACGAGAGAACATTGCTTTGATTATATCATTTCCTCAAGCCCTTGTCACACTCACTCATACACAAAATACTTCAGCCACCCATAGATTAATTGACCATGAAACAGAAATGTAGAAACCACGCAATCATCTTCACTGTGTGTGACAAATGCAAGACGAGTCAGTGGAAGTTATATTATTGTGATCACCACACAAAGCTGGACCTAGTCCTCTAATCGAGGGTATAAATAGAACCAGTTTAAAAATCAGTTGGCTCCAGAGTCCTACACCACCATGGCTCCTTTTTTCCCCCTTCAGTCTTGCTACTGGGAGGAGGCATGGAAAACACAGGAGCATTAGCCTGTTCCAAAGATGTACGGCAAGAACCAGCAGGCCACCAAAATCCAGGGAGGAAAAAGCAGAGTGGATGCTGTGGAACATGTCCCTTCGTCCACTTCTCCAACCGTGTTCTTGATCCAATCTGTGTAGGGTGAAAGATGAATATAGACAGTGGGCACCACTGCTCCACCCAGGAACCAAGCATTGTCTTGGTTGGGAGGAGGAGGGTCCCCCACACCTACCCTAGCAAGGAATATAGGTACGGAACAGCTTAAAGCATTTTTAGTTGTCCTCTGAGGTATCAAGAAGGGTGGGACTACCAAACAATAGTTGGAACTTAAGAACTAACAGGATCCAACCAACTCTTTGGCTTGGGAAGACTTAGTGCAATTCCTGGTAGGAAGCCAGTCAACATAAGACAGAAGTGGTGGCCGTGCAATCTTATGTGGATCCTGACTTAAATTAGAAAGGACTAAGCCTCTGTAGATCCTTAAGAAAAGAGAATGGGCTGCAGAGGAAACTGCTACTGCAAAGAACCAAGATGGCAGGCACACTCTGCAAGTATTGGGACAGGCTGGCTTTGGAGCAAAGCACGAGAAAAGATGTCTCTGTCGTGAGATAGCTCAAGGTTACAGGTATGGGTATGAAGAATGAGTTGTCAGAGGTTGCCAGAAGGAAGGAATTAATGAACGGTCGGACACAAAAGCAGATCAAGAATTGACTTGAGGAAGAGGGTAAGTGGAATTTCATAACTTAAAAGAAGTATGTTCTCTAAAGCAAGGCAAAGAGGGGCATGCTATTAACACAGGAAATACAGAAACGTTGGGAAGGTTGAAATGAATTAAAAAGTTAGCTGATTAGCAATGGAAGTGGAACACACATAAAACTTAGCAGGGCTGGATATAAAAAGCATACAATAAGCTGAGGCTCAAGATGCTGGCACTAGGTACCCGCAAGACTGAATCGCAAAGCTTGAAGGAAACTTCTGCTTGAAGAGCATGCGGATATTTTTGGAGTCACAGCCAACAGCACTAAATTGAGAGTGCAAAATAATAATCTGAGGTGTAAGATTGTGAAATAGCAGGACCACCAATGAGTAGGGGACTAAAAAAAAGTACTCTTCCGCTACAATGTTTTGGCATATTTGAGGTATTATTTATAAAAGGTAATATAAACTCTGAAGGAGAACAAGGAGCAGAAGGGGCAGACTGGCCATGCAAGCTGAAGGGGCCCCATTTTCTGGGGGGAATTTACTAGGGACGATAGGGCGATTCCACCCTGGCGAGGGCTGGATACCATCATAAAGTCCAGGCCGGCTAGTAGTAGTATTGGAGCACATGCCTTCTTCAGAGACAGGTTCCACGTTGGGTTTCACTTCGCTGAGCTCCACCTCCGGAATGTTCTCCTTAATCCAGTCAGAGTAGGCTGAAGTACGGATATAGACGCCGGGCCGGTTGGGAGCCCCACATGCATCGCCCCAGCTCACCACTCCTGCCAGCACCCAGGCATTTCCAACACGACAGGAGAGAGGTCCTCCAGAATCACCCTAGATAAAACAAAAAAATAGTTTATGCGTTTGTGGGGGAAATTAAACACCTAGATCTGAGAATCTGCAAATTCACAAGCCAGAGGGCATCACCTAATTCTGCAAAGATCAGAGATCTGGAAGATGATTATTAGGGCCAGAATTAGCCAAGGCCCACTGTCAGTCTCATTCAATGCAATGTCTTTCATATAAGCATTTCTAACTCCCCTTCCTTAGGGTAAAACAAGGCAATATGCTTAGCATGCTTTTAGAAAAGATACTTCCCCCAAATCCAGAAAGTAATCTGTCACAGTATTTTACATTAAATCCACCTATGTGTCTTGGATTTCATATGCTTTCCTTCTGTGGTGTGATCGGATTACCAACTTCACAAGAATTAAACACAGGCTTAATTTGGAAGGCCAATTGTGGAAGACCTGTATCTCCCAAATCCCGCTATAAGTGGGAAAACATGTTAACCGCAGGAAATAAACATGTTATTTAATGATGGTTGTTGTAGGTTTTTCGGGCTTCTCTGGCCATGTTCTGGAGGTTTTCCTTCCTAACGTTTCACCAGGCTCTGTGGCCAGCATCTTCTGAGAACAGGTGTTAGAACTCCTTATTTAATGTTTAAGTTTGCCCCACACTCCTGTATGTTTTAGTTTTAAACGTCCACAACTATGACACTAAGCAGAATAACTTTTCATGCCACTTCATTGCTTGGCTGAGGCTGGGAAATAACATGTTTTGTGAGGGAAAGAAACACGGATTTTGTTCCAAATACAACTATGGGGCATTCTTTGCCTCACTTTTGTGTGTGTATGTGTGAATGATGCTTATACTTGGCCCATCTGTATGGTGTCTAAGACAAAGAACAAATGGCACTAGTCTGTTAATATGACATTAATATTACGTTCTACGTGCTGCACTTTAAGAACGATTCATAGAAACTGGAACAAGTTCAGCAAGAGGGCAACAAAGAATCAAGGGATTGAAAGCCCTATGAGGAAATATTTAAAGAGCTGGGCCCGTTTAGCCTTGAGAAAGGAAGACTAAGAGGAAATATGATAGCCCTTTTCAAATATTTGAAGGGAGGGACAGAATTTGTTCTCAATCATCCTTGAGTGCAGGACGTGTTATAATGGGCTCAAGTTATAGGAAGCCAGATTTCAATTGAATATCAGGAAAAACGTCTTCACTGTTAGAGCAGTAGGGCAATTGACTTGGGAGGTCGTGAGTACTCCAACACTAGAGACATTCAATGAGAAAATTAGACAGCCCTTTGTCAGATCTGGTTTGATTTAGATTCCTGCACTGAGTCGAAAAACGTCTTCACTGTTAGAGCAGTAGGACAATTGCCTTCTTCTAACCCCATTATTCTATTCTTCTGTGAGGAACAATCTCCTACATACTCTTCACTAAAATAGCAAGAACCTGTCCATAGCTTGGCTTTCAACTCTTTCAGCCAAAATGATGAGAGATGGGTTATCGTATCCCACTTCAATGAATGAGCTTTCCCAATCTCCCCAACCTCTGTATGGTCTCACCTGGCAAGCATCCTTCTTTCCCTCAGCAAATCCAGCACACAACATGTCATCATGGAGAATGTGAGGATCTTCAGGGTCTGGGTTTCGGTTGTATAGGCACTTGCAGGTGTCCATCCCAATTATGGGCACTTCAAGCTGTTGTAGTGTCATAGGTGAGGGAAGGCTTGCTAAATAGAAGGACAGAATTAAGAGTCAGGGTCCAGTGGTAGAGAAGGTAGGGGTACGTGTGCGTGTTAAAAAGGCATGTCCCCACAAAGTTTAAAGTTCAAAATAAGAGGTCCCAAACCTAAAACCTTTCTGGGACCCACAATCTCTAATGCAGAAGGTTTAAGCCCATTTCCAGAAGCAGATGTTGCAAGATGTCTAAATGGGATGCATAGGAAAAATAAAGCACTCTGCACATGCCCAGATGCAGCCTCCTATTATATAATACAAGATCACGAAGAGCTTTATTTAGCACTGGTACCACAAATCTAAAGAACCCACCCTATAGAAATTCGCCAGGCCCTACTTTACATCTGTTTAGTTGTTGCAGACTTTATTTCAGTCTACTTAAAATGTTTGGATTTTATTTGCCAGTTATTGGCCTCTAAATGCAACCATCTCCTTCTAACATTGCTCGACGACTTGGCGTCATGCATTTTTCAAATTATTTCTTGGCCGATCTTTATCACAGTTGTGAGCTCTTCTGGGCATCTTTCATTTTAAACCATCAGAAAGAAGCACAGAAACAGAAAAAAGAAACAAACTACATGTGTTCCAGGCCAGACCCCGGTGTTGAAATATGGGAACAAAGATCCCTACATGTGTTGGGGAAACAAGAGCCACAAGAAAGATATTCATTCAGCGCTTCTCTCCCGGCTGTGTTTCACAGCTCCCGGACACATCCCACCACCAAATAAACTGTAGGGAGTGTCATTCCAAGAGAAAAATTCCTTACTAGAGGTGAGCACATTGCCCCAGCCAGTGACTGTACACTTCATTCCTTTGGGAAAGCTGACAGAGGAGGCAGGGAGACAGACGGGACGTATCGTCCGGGTGTACGGAACCGATTCCTTGAGCTTCACCAGGGCAATGTCCCCTTTCGATCCTTCATCATCAGTGAACTCGGGATGTTTGATCACCTGCACCACCTGCTTCACTACGATGTCCGGCGTGGGGTTTTTAAGCTGAAAGGCCCCCAAGGTCACCTCATACCTGTCTATTGGATTCACTCTGAAGTGAGGAAGAGAAAAGAAAACAAAAATCCATTTCTAAGATACCAAAGGAGTTTCATTGCCAGAGACGTCAAATCACCTCTGCTAGACGGATGAGGCAAAGAGGCAAAGCCGTAACTAGGGCAGGGCAAAACCAGGGCTTGGCTCCAGGGTGTCAAAATGTACAGAGTGTGGAAATACAGCAATGATTCTACCCATGAGTTTAAGAAAGTGGCTCCACTTCCTGGTTCTATCCACTTTCGGGTTGATCTCCACAGAGATTGCCTGAGTTCTGCTGCAGTTTGAGGTGGGAAGAAAAGAGCTTCTTCTCACTAAACATGATGCCACAATGGCCACCTCCCACCCACCCACACCAACCCCACATGAAAGAGAAAACTGAGGTTGATGAGGAAAAAGAAGAGGACTCCATGGCAGTCCTTTGCCTCACCAGACAATGCAGCTAAGGCTGCAGGATTCGGGCAGGAGGACTGCTGAGTCTGAAGGAGTAAATTTTTCTAAAACTTTGTGGAGAACAAGTTCCTTTTGTCTGACTTGGATCTCTATCTAGCCATTATCTGAGACTAAGAACTCTCACAACTACAGGGGCAACAAACTGAACTATGAGGTGGGGAGGATATGCAACAAGATACACAACCATACAGTATGGAGTTGTGCACATTTTGGAATAAGCTACACAAAGATGATCATTATGAAAATCGTTGGGTGAATTGTAATGACATGAGAAAGCATGGCATTTCTCCATACCTACTGTATTCTCCAAACCCTAAATTTTTTACCAGCTTATAAATGTAGACTTGGATCTTGCCCATTCTACTGGGCGAGACACCTGCATTTCCAAAGGACAGCCCAGTTTTCCATCTCTGCTCTCCAATACCCACAACAGTATCATCCGCCACATATGCCTTGCTCACACTTACGGAGGGAAACAATGTGCAGCCGTGACCAGCCACTGGGGGGTGATGAGGGTCCCTCCGCAGACATGATGACCGTCAAAGTTAAGGTTGACCTGCCAGGGCCACTGTCCACTTTGGGCGTCTGTGCCACCCACAATTCGTCCCATGGAGGGCACTCCGCAGAGCACTGCTGATAAAAAGACATTTTGTAGAGTGAAAAAAGCATTCCAAGAATCATCACAACACTTCTTTACTTCTTTTGTATACAACGATTAAATGATGAACCTAGGGCTTGAGAGAGAGAGAGAGAGAGAGAGAGAGAGAGAGAGAGAGAGAGAGTGTGTGTGTGTGTGTGTGTGTGTGTGTGAGAGAGAGAGAGAGAGAGAGAGAGAGATCTCAAAAGTACAGTGGACCAAATAGGAAGGCAATGTTTAAAAGGCAAGACTTGCGTACTTCTATACTGTATATGGAAAGAATTTGGCGGTTCATTAAAGGGTCCATTTGTAAGATTTCCTTTGGGTAAAAAGTATAACAATAGGTAAACTAAGACTGCTGGGAACCAGTGATGGGAACTGAAAATGATATACTTCTGTGACGAAAATGGAAAGGGTGGACAGTGATGTTCTATTGTTATTGGTATTTTCTTTTAAAAAAATCAATACAACATTCACAAATCTCTTACTTTCTCTTGTGCTGGCCTCGCCTACAACCGCACAGTGCGAGCACGATAAAAATCCTGTATAAAACAAATAAAAAAGACAAGTTATCAGTCAGTTATAAAGGTAGTATGCAACATTCCAATTATGACAAAATTGGTGAACTGCACTGAAAGCTCTTATTTCTTTACTATGAAAAAAAAACACTGAAGATGTTTTCTAAGAGTGAATCCTGGAAACCCCAGTTTTGCAGTTTAGTTTCAGGTAAGTTTTTTTTAAAAAAAAAATCACCAGGCCATGTATTATCTTAAAGTCCAAAATTCAAATACGAAATCCTTACCAACAGATTACATCCTTCACAGTGATCTACCCACCAACCCGTCTGGGCTGCAATCCAGGACTACACTTATCTCCTGGAAAATGTATAATAATTCAGACATTCATTGCAATCAAGTGGTAAAGGTTTCCTGGACTGCACCATTTAAAGGCTGAAAGCGCCTATGGAGAAGAGATGGCACAGTCAAATTCTATCCTCAGAGACACAGAAAGTTAGCATTTTAGAAGGCAGGCAATGTGTTATTGTCTTGAAATTCCCATGCAGTGGCAAAATCCAGGAAAGCTATTCCAAACTACCACTGGATTCAAATAGATCCTTTAATCCTCAGCAGGTCTTCGCTGGAGGTATGGCTCAGCCATGGCCCTTCTTTTAAATGTCTGTCTTGGAATGTGAAAATCAGATGGGGAACAGTGTCTTTTTTTGCCAAGTCACTGTGACCTCAGCAGCTATAAAACAGGCAGAAATTGAGGAGGAAGAGGTTTCAAGAATGCTGCTCTTCGTAGCTTTCACACCTGACTGAAAGGTGAAGGAACAGCGCTAGAGGAAAAGCAAAAAAAAGTGACGAGCCCTATCCAGATCGATGTAATGTCTGACAACACCAGTCTCCTCGACTTCACATGATAAATGACATCATGATACAACCAAATACAGAGAGAAGCAGTTTCTCCCTTTCTGAAATTTCTTCCCAAAGTTGCACCTCCCTCCTCAGGAGTCAGCCTCCACCTGCCCTAGTTTCTCTTGCCACAGCCCTGCTTCCCAGGAACCTGCCAACCGAGAGCGAACTAACTTTCCAGGATGAGAATCCTGACATGCCATAGATTCCTGACAGATGTGCTGGCACTGATTTTGCGAGCACCCAATCACCGTGTCGTCAGAGACAGAGTAAGAGAGCACACGCAGCCCTGCTGAAACTCACTCGCCCCTGAAGGGACTAGACTAGAGGACTCTTAAGTAAGAGGAAGTTCCAGGTTTAGCTCCTCTATGGGACTCCAGTTGAATGTATTATGGAATGGGTTTGCCTCTATATCGTTGCCTGGCCCAAGTAGGGCTTTGGTTTTAATATATATTAAATATTAAAATAATTAAATTGAATTGTAAATATGACTTGGCCATGCAACTCACTAAGTGGCCTCCCGGACAGTCCCACTTTCTCAGGCTAACCTGCCACACAAGGCAGTTGGTGATTATAAAATGGAGGATTAGGTCAGCCACCAAAAAGCTCACCTCAAGCTTTTTGGAAGAAGGACTGAATATACTGGTAACAAACAAATCTTCTTCTGATATGTCCACCATGGGTGTGCAAACATGAACGAGCAACAGTGCTTATCTCTGTGGACAATAATCTAGCTGTGGAACCAGAGGTTGAGAGTTCAATTCTCCACTGTGCATTCCAGCAAAGCTCCAGTCTGTGGTCTTGGGCAAGCTGCAGAGTCCCAGAAGGAGGGAATGGCAAACCAGTTCTGAGTACTCCCTACCTAGAAAATCTTGAACAGGGTTGCCATAAGTCAGAACTTTTATTAATAATAATAAAGTTTATTGTGCTCATATGACCCATAGGTGAAGGTAAAGGTTCCCCTTGACATTTAGTCCAGTCATGCCCGACTCTAGAACGCGGTGCTCATCACCGTCTACAAGCCATAGAGCCAGCATTTGGCTGAAGACAGTTTCCGTTGTGACGTGGCCAGTGCGACTTAGACACGAAACACCGATACCTTCCCACCATGGTGGTACCTATTTATCTACTTGCATTTGCATGCTTTCAAACTCCTATGTTGGGAGGAGCTGGGACAAGCGACAGGAGCTCACTCCGTCGCATGGATTTGATGTTACAACTGCTGGTCTTCTCACTTTGCAGCACAGAGGCTTCTGTGGTTTAACCCGCAGTGCCACCACGTCCCGCTCATATGACCCATACAGATATGCAAATTAATTAAAAAAGACACGCGGAAGCTCACAACATTAAAAGACAGTATGTAAATTTAACAATGAGTAAACAATACAAAAAGATCAAAGAGACACCACACTAAAAATTGGTAAACAAAAGCAACACCAAAACACATTCACAGCAGTAACGTACAACAATCCACTAAAACACACACACACAAACACCTAGCCAATCAGTCACTAAGAAAAGAGCTTGCCTGAAGAGCAACGGTCTTTGCCTGCTTGCGGAAGAAGGGCAGAAATGCAGCCAGCCTGCTCTACCTTTATTTTTGCTTTCTATTATATGTTTTGTAACCACCCTCTACCTTTATTTTTGTTTTCTATTATATGTTCTGTAACCACCCTGAGTAGTACCTCGACACTAATGGGAGTGGGACACAAATTAAAAGGAAGGAAGGTATTCCAAAGCCTGGGAGCAGCGACAGAGAAGGCCCTCTCCCTTGTCTCCACAATATGCACCTGGTGAAGGTGGGCTAGGGCAGGAGGAAAGCCTCTCCCGATCATCTTCATGTTCCAGTAGGTTCATGAAGCGGAATGTGGTCTGCGAGATAGCTTGGGCTCAAGCTGTTTAGGTTTTAATAGGTTAGAACCAGCACTTCGAATTATGCCTGGAAATGGATTGGCCGCCAGTGGAGCTGCCGCAACAGTGGGGCTCGTATGTGAGCCGTCTAGAGTGGTCGAAATGACTAGATAGGCAGGGTATAAATACAATAAATAATAATAATAATAATCTCTGTGACCAATCTCAATCTGGCGGCTGCTGGGCCCGCTGAAGTTTCATGACACTTTCGGGAGGTAGCCTCAAGAAGAGCGTGTTACAGAACTGACTTACTGCCACACAATTGTCAAATTCAGTTCGACATCCAGCGTTGTGTAGTGGCTAGCGTGATGGAACCAAGACTTAGGTCTGTGTTCAAATCCCTGCTCAGCCATGGAAACTCACGGGGTGTATGTGTGTGGAACTGGTAAAACCACTCCTTAAATTACCTTGAAAGCCATACTGGAGTCGCTGTAAGTCGGTTCCGACTCGATAGCACGTAACAACAAAAAGAAAGGACAGTTTAGCATATGAAAGGATTCAATTGCTTATTTGTCCATACTGAGCTTCTTTTAAATTCAAAAGATTCGGCCAGGTTGTTCTGAATATTTTTCCTCTAGTCAAGTGGAATTCCTGTTTTGAGAGGAGAAAAGAGGAATAACAAATATGCTTCGGGGGGAGGGGTAAAAGCACTATGGTTTTGTTTATTATAACCACTCTGAAAATGGAAGTTGATATTTTGAAGAGTCAGTCGCTATTCTGACTATTACGTTTAAGTGATATGACTGCTGACTCTCTGTTATTTAACATCATTAAAGCAGGGTGACTTGGCATCCAGGCTCACATGCTATGGCTACTATAAATGTTTTAATGTCATACTCATCATATTATCTATCTGTTCAACCTTTCTTGAGAGGACATTTTATTTGGTGAGGTATCTTCTTCTAGGCTGACCTTTATTCTCCCTGCCCACATGGTTTGAGGGGGCAGAGTTTTAGCTTTAAATGAGTGCGAGCAGAAGCGCGCACCTAATGGCACATGAAATTCTCTGGTTCTATTTTTGACTCTAATCTGGTAAATAGGAAAGCCAAATAGCATTGCATATACATTTTAGGGGTAGGACTATACTTCCGCACTATTAGGGAGCAGGCCAGGTAGGTGGGGCTCATCAGCCTTGGAAGGCATGCCATCGGAAAAACTCCAATTTCAATCCTCCACTGCCTTGTGGCTACATCCACTGATGGAAAAGGTTTCAGGAGTTAACCTCGAGGCAAAATCCGGAGCTGGAGTCCCGGAGGCAGGTCGTGTCATTCTGGGAACTCCTGCAACGTCGCTGGAACCAGCTGTACAGTGGAGTCTCGACCTACGAATGGCCCCACTTACGGACTTTTCGATGTACATACAGCTCCAGCCACAAAATTTTGGATCGACTTGCGGACGGAGATTCGATGTACGGATAAAAAAGGCAGGGGAAAAGGGCGGGAAATTCAAACTGTTGGTGGTGAAGAGGCTGCTTCTTTAGCTCTTTCACAGCAACGGTTTGGAAAAGGGAGGGAGCCGGGTGGCGGGGAAGAAAGGCAGGAGCCGATCTGGCCTTTCTCCCCCACCGGACAGCTTCTCCGCTGCTGAAATCGCCATCGGGGCAGCCCTTTAGGAGAAGCCGGGTAGTGGGGAAGAAAGGCAGGGCCGCGCAGTGGGGGAGAAAGACCAGATCGGCTCCTGCCTTTCTTCCCCGCCACCCGGCTTCTCCCAAAGGGCTGCACCGATGGCGATTTCAGCAGCGGAGAAGCTGCCCGGTGGGGGAGAAACAGCGAGATCTACTTTGGCTCGGGCATGTCGTGAGAATGGCTGATGGTCGGATTCCAAAAGACCCTGTGTGGAGAATTAGTGCAGGGAAATCGCCCCAGACGGAGACCACAGCTGCAATACAAGGATATCTGCAAGCAAGATCTGAAGGCCTTAGGAATGGACCTCAACAGATGGGAAACCTCAACATCTGAGCATTCAGCCTGGAGGCAGGCAGTGCATCATGGCCTCTCCCACTTTGAAGAGACAGTTGTCCAGCAGGCCGAGGCAAAGAGGCAGTTCCAAGAGCAGCAAAAGTAGGGAGCTGGACAGGGGACAGATTGGATTTGTTTTCAGTGTGAAAAGGATGGTCACTCTCCTATTGGCCTTCTCAGCACACTAGATGCTGTTCCAAGTCCTCCATACAGAGCATGTTACCATAGTCTCTCGAGACTGAAGGATGCCTAATCAACCTT